ACTTTACCTTTTTCAAAATAAATTTTACTTTCTTTAATGCTTCTGTGAAAAGCAAAGCATTATTTCCCATGACGATTCCTTGAAATAAGATGTCATATCAGAGATTTCAGCTGGAAACTTGTCAATCTTACATGAAGAATGTTACATGTTTTCCAAAGGACATGAATTTGATTGACTTCTTAAGATACAGTATTCTAGCCCTTTGGATGCTTTATAAAAGCAAATTGTGCATAGTATTCAGGAATGTGGACAGCTATAAGAGATATTTGTGATCATTAAGTCCAGTCTCTCTTTATAGGCATCACATATTACCTCCTCAATGTATGCATTCTGAAAAGCTGTGGGGTTTTTTGTTGTTTCATTAATTTTTGATGTTTTTTTTTTTACTTGTTTGTTTGATTTGGTTTTGGTTTGTTTTCCTGCTCTGCAAGTTTTCTCATTAGGGAAACTGTGAAGCCTTCCCTTGCAATTGTCAGGCACACTTTTCTACTTGCTAGAAGCAGCTTATTTACGTTACTTTTTCTTATGTCGAGTTAATCTTTAATTGTAAACTGATCATCTTCTTCCTCCTTGTTTTTAATCTCCCTGAGTAATACACCCATAACCCATCTTCTCTCAGTCTGCATTTTGTCAGACAGCCAGATATTCTTAGTCTCTTCTCTTTCCAGGATGGTCTGGGCTACATTGTATTTTTCCAGTGTGTCATGGTGTGAACTGGCTGCTGTTGAATGAAGTGAGCAGAATGGTCTGCAGTGTTTTATGCCTTCTTTTCTATCAAGCCTTCCTACATCTACCAGAAATACTTCGACCAGCTTGTCTTATCACTGTTTTCTTTGAAGCTGCTTCATATTGGTCATTCATAGTCATCCAGTGATAAATTAGAAAATGTGTCTTCTTACTGCTCGGTTGTTCTCAGCTGATGAGATTCTAGTGTATAGCTGACATTTCAATTTTTAATCCCCAAATACAAGACTTTTTTCTCATTTCTGTTACCACAGTCCTAAAGGTTGTCCAGCACTTTCTGTGAGATATACCAGTCCTCTTCTGTATGAATGATACCTTTAAAGATTTTCTCATTAACTTGCTTGTGATGTCTGTTACTAAAATTATTATTAATATAAAAAAGAAAGAGTGAAGAGGAGTCCTTGTAAAAAGCCCAAGCATTAATGACTTCCCTTAAGTCTCTTCTTCCTTTCAGTTCCAGCCCGACACCATCTCCCATAAGCAAGTTCTTCATGTTGCCCACATTTCCTGTGCTGGTGTCTTCTGCCTAATTTACATGCTGTGTTTATGGGTTCGCATTCTAACACATTTAAGTAAATATTAAGCTACTCAATGCCTGTTGTCTGCCAGCAATCCAATTAAACTCAACTGATGTATATTTGCTAACTTCATATTAATTTGCTAGACTCAGTTGATGATGCCAGAGTTTCTGATCGCTTCTTTCACTTCTTCCTGGCCATTTTTAGAGAACAAATTCGCCAATCCTTGGCAATCTACACAAGATGACTTGCTGGTGGATTTATTACCTAGGATTTCTTAGTCAAGACAACTGATATTTAGCAAGTGTAATGCTGTTTAGTGGTGATAAAACAGCTAGCAGTGGGATTCAAAAAATACAAGCTATATCTAATCTAAATTACAGCTATACTTCATATATAAGAATTTCCTGATAGGTGTTTTTCTGCACCCTTCTTATTTTAATTTTCTGCCAGCCATTTTTTGTTCACTTTGTAGTTGTTTTTTTACTTTATCTGTATACTAAGTACATATACTACTTCTTGTGCTATGTGTCCAGCAGTATTGTATTTGGCCAAGCTATGTATCTTTAAAGGACTTTCTTGGACATTTTCTGTTTTTTGCACCTTTTTGCATATAACTCCACAGGTGCTTCACGTGTGTCTTCCAACCTGCTACATTTATTGTAAATCCTATTCCATAATTTGTTACCTGTATGCTTGTTAGTTGCACTCTCTAGTTCATCAGTACATCAGTGATGGCCTTTAAAATGGTTATGTATTTTTCTTTTTTTTCAGGCATTCATAGCATTATTTTACGTTATAAAACTTTCCGTTGGGAATTCTTGGGATTCAGGCATGTTCCCTGTTAGCAAAGTTTTCGCAGTGACTCATGACAGCCAGGGTGTGATTTTTCCTCTTTGAATATGTGCAGTATCACTCACAACCAGACTTGCTGCTCCTATAAAGGCACAACCTGTTACCCTGTCAATAAATTGGTATTGTGTCATGGGGAGCTCAACGCTTGTTCCAATGCTCCAGTGACCAGGAGAGTTTAATGTCTTATTTGTCAGATCATCTACTTAACTTACAAGAATTCAAGATTACAGGTAAAAGCGTTTATTCACTTAAAAACATAGGTTTTTGCATTTATGGAAAAAAAGTTGTGACAAGACAAAACAGAATATAGTGTTGAGATACACTATATATAAACAGAGATACACACACACTAGCTGCTTTAGCTAGCTTCTGTGTCTGTCTCTCTCATAGGTGATATAGGAATCTGTTATGATCTTGACATAGGGTTTCTACTGCTTAGACTGTCTTTAAGATGCCTTCCCCATGCTTGGGGCAGAAAAGAGGCCAGGACTGAAAGCTATTGGCACTCCCTCTGGGTGGTTCCAGGCTAGAATGCCAATGTCGTATTTATTTCCTTCTATTAAAAATTATTTCCTTACATTTGCTACTGGAGCAGTATTTAGCACTCCTGAGGATACTGGGAATATCCTTCTTACCAACTCTGAAAGTCTGTTGATTTACAATAGTATCATCAGCCTTCATTAAAAAAAGTTATGAAACCTTATATATCACATCACAAGAGATGCAAAATGCAGTTTCTGGCTAGATTATTAGAGCTTCTTTTCCTCTATTTTTTTATATTGAATACAATACCTACAGGGTGAAACTGGGAATAAAGAGCCTTGCTTTAGGAACATCTTGATCAACACCACTGCTGGTTTTAGGGAATCTCGTGAGCATCCTGTTACTAAGAGGTCTTGCCACTGTTAGCACCGTGGGCTTTCTGAGAATTATCTCATTGCAGCAAAATTTGTAGTCAGATTGTTTTCTTTAGCATTGCCAAAAAAGATCTGTGTACTACACAACCAAGTCTAGGTCTAAGGAACTAGAGTGATTTCTAGTAAAATCGCATCTACCAGCTTCTTTGAAACTAATTTGGCCCAAACAAAAATCTTTTCTGCCATCTCTTTTTTTTCATGCAGTTACAATTAGGACTCAGCTAACTTTACCTTTATTTTTATCTTTCATGAAAAACTCATGGTCTTGTGGTACTCTAACCATGATTGCTATTTTGTCTTACTTCTCTCATTCCTGTAACAGAAGACACTTGTCTATAGTTCCTGCATTTGCTGTCCATATTCCTTGCATTAACATGCAAATATTTTCTTGTTTCTTATCTGTTCACTAATTGAAATAGGCACATCTTTTCACTGGTATGTCTCATGCATGTAAATCGTCTTCATATACAGCCTTAGGACTATTTTTCTCTTCCGTATAGACTGCTACAGTGATAAATCTGAATTTACTGTGGTGTCCTTACTACCCTCCTTCTATGTACTAAACCAATATTTGGAGATTATACAAAATCTCCCAATCATCTCTCTTTGTTTCTTAGTCTGAGATGCTTCCTATTGAGCAGTTCAGCCTCAATAATAGAAAACTGTTTTGAGGTAGTCTGTCCTTTGAGAGAGAGTTGTGCTTCCAGTGAAAGCATTCAAAATTGTATTTTAATTTGTCTAGTCCTGGAGGCATTTACTGCTGTTCGTTGTCTTTGTTATATTCCTTGCTTTTCCTCTGTATTTCCTTTATAAAGAACAGGAAGAGTTATGACCTAGATTTCTCAGTCTTTGCATGTCTTTTTGGTTTTGTTTTGGTTTTGTGTTGGTTTTTTCCCCCTTTTCTCTTTCATCGTGGTTGTTTGTTATATTTAACAGTGTGTTAATTTCTACCAACGGTATGGAAATATAAAAGTCCTCAAAGAGTAAGCATAGAAAAAAAAACAAGAAAATTTGATTACATAAAGACATGCTGCTGGTTCCTTCTGAAGTAGTGCAAGAATACTGTCCTGTTCGAAATGAGCATAGAATTCATGTGCTTTTACAATAATTCTCTAGATTTTACAAGCTATTTTATTGACCAAAAATGTATAGGTCAGCATTCTGAATTGCTTCTCTGTAAGTGCATGCATTTATGAATTGCCAGCACTTTCCTTTCCCGGTGAATAGGTTTTAATCTCTCGGGTGAAATGGGAATTAAACAGGAGATGAATCTGTCCAATCTTCACTATCTGTAAGGTTTCCAAATCTTTTGATGTATTAGTCATGTTAATGTGTTAATAATAGTAAGGCCATGATTTTCTTTTTTTTTTTTTTCAGTTGAGTTGTACATGTCCCTTGATTTATGTAGGTTCATAAAGAGAAAATAGTTTTGTGGATGAATGGGTGTCCAAACAGCAGATTGAGCTATAGATGACTTCCTAACACCCTGGATGACATTCAGTGATCTCTGCCCCCTTGTGCTTTCTCTCATTGTATCCAATACTAACAAGAGGCAAAGCCACGTGACTGAAGCAGGGAGCAGAGTATTAAGTGACACAGTGGGAAGGAAGTGGCCCATAGTGGCAATGGGCAAATACCTTCTAGGGACGTCTTTTCGTGTCCTATCTCCAGCATGGTATACTAGCCCTTCTTCTGCCTCAAGGTCCTGATGCCAGCCATATCCAGCCAGAAGATCCTGCTTAATACAATTCAAGGACAGCAAAGTTCCCAAACCAGTCCTTTATCTAAGCCTTTACAGGAAGCTACACAAGCCAGGAGGCAAGGTATATAGATGAACAACAGCTTCTGGGTGCGAAGGCTGTGTGGATTCCAAGGAAGATGTGGACTACAGAGGCGGGTGCTTGTTGCATGACAGTGATGCAGAAATAGGCCACACTTAGAAAGTAGGTATGGGTTAGTGTGAGATATGACGGAATGGATTAATCGCACCTTGAGAGGTGAGTTGGTTGACTGGGGTCGGATGGTGGAGATGAAGGCAGCAGCACTATAAGGGATTTGTTAGGGGACTGACAGGTAGCAGAGAGATTTAGGAGTTGGGCTTTTGAGAGACTTCAGGTTTTATGGGGAGAGGTGCAGAGAGGTACAGTTTTTACCTATAATAAAGTTTCGAAAAGTAATTTTTGTTGTGTGGAATGTTGACTATTACATGTTAAAATACGTTTGGTAAACTTAGGAGACCTATATCTTTTTCCTCATTGTTTAGTACTGTCAGGAGGGAAATTGAATAACTTTTCAAATACTTTGTTATTACTCAGTAGACAGTGTTATAAATTGGAAAAGTTTTTTATCTCTGTTATAAGTATTATTACATTACAGCAACATAAAACAAGTTCCATATGAAAAGAGAGGAGTTTGGTTTTAACTATGAAAGACTGCATTTAATATGAGTTTGTCAGTGTTTGTGTTGAAGGTATGCATACTTTCCCGTTCTCAGCTTCAAACTTCTTCAGCTAGAGCAAACCTCTAATTCCTTCAGTAATGCACTGCAGTTGCCTACACTGAGCAAAGAATTTTATTCAAAGCAGGTTTTACAGCTTTCTCATGTAGAGAAATGACGCATCAGGCTTGTATGTATTATATATTTGGAACTTGATCCTGTAAACATTTACTTGCATGCTTAAAGTTAAGCCTGCAATTCTCATTAAGTCAGTGAGTCCTCCTGTGTATTTGAAGTTGGGGGTAAAGTCAATGTAAATATCCAAAATATCTTAGTTATTGCACCACATCTCTAAGAAATAAATGGCTGCCTTGATTCTGAGCCTACTTTTGTACTGGTACATCTGTCAGTGTCATTGGGTCATAGGTTTTCTTGCACATTGCTTCCAGTGTTTTGGAAAATGCTGGTGAATTTACCTGCACAAAGAAAAAAAAAAAAAAAGACAAGAGGCTGGGGAGCCAGAGGAGGATTGACTGCTTCTTTTTTAAATAAAACCAGGCTAATTTGGGGACAATACAGAATAATTTTGAAATGCTTCATAATAATTAGCTTAGTGACTTAGTGTTGGATTACTAATAGAGGCCCAAAAAGTAGTTTGAGTGCCTTTGAATTAGCATCAGAATTCACACAAGACTATCTGAACTGACTTGGTATTTGGTATAAAGAAGTGTTGTGGTCAGAAGATGTGCTTTCCAAATACCCATGCAATGAAAGAGTTTATTGCAAAGTTAGTTTAAGGTGGGTTTTGTTTGTTTGTTGGGTTTTGGGGTTTTTTTTGCTTGGTTATCTTTTTTCTTGGCTTACTAAAGAAAATCAGCTCATACATTTGGGTGTAGCTCAGTACTCAATCAGACAGCATTAGCAGAATTCATCAGTCTTTTCTTCCCTCCAATGACCCTCAAATGTTTTCCCTTGTTAGCCCAAGGCCGTGGTATCTATTTATTACAACAAACACTTGTGCCTCATAGAATTATGTATTATTGCCGTCTCTTGGCAAAATTGGCATTGTTAGTGACAATTGCAATCCCTGTCACCTAGTAGTCAACTTTATAGGCTGGTTGTAAGATAAGCACATTATGCTCTCCCTGAGAAATCTGCACTTGAATTAAGTACTCAAAACATGCCTCTAAACTGTACTCTTTTTTTGTCACTGGTCTCTTTTTGTCGTTGGTCTCTCTTATACTAAATGAATTTATGGAAATATCTCTCAAGTCTTTTCCTGGCTTTATCCTGCTACTTTTTGTCACAGTTGGAGACTTCTTGTCCAATTTAATAACTAAACATTTAACTGATTTTCTTAGAATTTCTCACGTTTCTTCCTAGGAAAACAGATTCTGTATCTTCCTGTTTTTCATGGGACATGTAAAATTGTAGTATAATTTCTCTTTTTTTTTTTTTAATCTTGGGAAGAATCTAATTTGCCCCATACTTAAAAACTTGTGTGTCTTTAAACATTTTAAAATGTTTATTTTCTGTTGAGATTTTTTTGTGTGCTTGAATCTCATTTCTCGCTTTTGTTTCTCTAAAAGAATATTCTTGAAAAGAATAGATGACAATGGGAAAAAAAATAGGAAAATACAAGTGATTAAAAAAAGTCAGTAACAGTATACAGGTAGATGCAGTGAGATTACATTGAAGAATGTTTCTACTAAGAATCTGCACTTCTAGATGGAAAAGACCACAAGTAAAATTTCAGGAATGTATGGGTAGGTGAGAAGAACATAAAACAAAAAAGAGTGCCTTCCCCCCCACACCTCCAATTTTCAGCCTGTCACCTGATCTGAGAGGATTTTTATTACTATTTGTTTAATGTGTGTAACTAGTTTCCTTCTTTTAATACATGTGGGCATTAATGTAACATGACAAGTATTAAGGTGAATGCAAATCAGATGATGTGTCTTGGAAAAAAAATGATACAGATGCCTTATGTGCTGTTTTATCTTTGGTTTTTAACTTAGCATGGGAAGGTAAATGTCTGGATTATTTTACGCGTCTTCACATTTTTATTTAAAGATATTTAAGAAGATCCTGGAGAAAAAATAAGGTGGTATGCACCACAGAACCGGGCACATGTGTGGCTAGGTCTTATGGCTGACAGAGTCAAGACTTCAAATACCTGTCTCTTTTCCAGCTGATCACTACTATATTGCAATCAGAGTTGAAGGTAAAATGCAGAAAGAAATAAGGGGGTTGTATTGCAGAAGGCATTTGCAACAAAACTAAGTTGTCCAAGCAAAAGTGAGGCCCTGCATTCATCTTGATATCACTTTTTTCCCCGTATTAATAAATTTCAATCAGGTACAAAGTATTAAAAGTATCCTACATGGATAGAATGAACATATTATTTTTGGGGAGACAGCTCAGTGTGTAAAGTCCAGAGTGAAAAATAAAAGCTCTAATACACAGATTTCCCAAAGCCTTTCCACCCCATTAAAGTTCCAGTATTTGAAACCCCACATATGTGGTAACGGGAGGCTGCTCACAGGCTGAGCCAGCTGAAACCCTTGAACTGCTTGGCCAAAGGAGTACTGAAGCCCCACACCTCCTTGACCAAAGATCTTCATGCTGCTTTGGAGTGCTTTTCTCTTGAATCTTGTTTCACAGCCTCCTTGAAAGGTGAGATAAGAGCTGGGCTTGCTGTAATCAAAGCTGGGAAGAGGTTTTGTTTTTAGCAAAGCAGAGCACTTAAACACTTCCACAGTACCGCGCTTGACACCGGTCACTGAAATTCCGGTGTGATCTTTGCATCTGCTGGGTGAATGTCAAAGCATATTTCTTTGACAGCCTACTGGCTTCATTTCTTTAGCTTCTTGGATTGAGGTGAAGGTATCGGTTTCTGGAAGGTTAATAACTCAGCACTGGAACACAGAATAGATCAACATTGAGAGACAACTTACAAGAGGAGGCATTTTAAGGACTTCCCTGCATTTTCATTAGCAGGATCCTAATTATACAGAAGACAAGTGCACATGACTGTGTGGGTCTTGTTCACTTGTTTGTAAATACTCTGTTCAGTGCTATTGGAACCAAAAAGGAGGCTGTCCAAGCCCATTCCCGGATTCTGCTGAAAGCCTGTGTGCCACTGTTTCGCTACTCTACACTGGGGTTGGGGGTTGAAAGGTGTTACAGAAAACAAGGCAAAAAATCAAGAGTTCATCTCTGTGAAGGGTGATGGGAGGAAGGAACTCAAGATCCCCCTGAAATAAGCATGAGAGAATTTTGAATTAAATGCTAACACAGATTTTACATGTCGATTAAACTACACTATATTTCTAGTGCTGTAATCTTCCAGCTTCCATACTGATTTGAATTTCAGACTTTTTCCTGGTAGGCCATCCCCTGGCCTCCCACCAGGCCCTAGGGGTGGTGTTTTTTCCATTTTCAGTGTCATTCTGTCACTTCTGTCATTCGAGTATTAAGGCCTTGCAGCTATAGAGGTCTCTGTAATGGTACTTGCTGGGCTGTTCATGGCAAATTATCTTACAACACATTGTTTCCCTGTTTCTCTCTGCTTTGTTCCCTTGAGTGTGTGATGTGAGCTTCTATTAGACATAAATTGTGTATCCTGGGGGAGCATAATAGAAAAACACAAAACGCCAGTCAATCTGTAAAATTTAAAGCCATGCTTAAAATGTGTGGGGGAGACATGGGGATTCTTAGAAGAGGAATGCTGTGCTGGAGGAGTGAGAGATCTGGGCTGGTGTCAGGAGGATGCCAAGGAAAGGATAGACAAGGCTTTCACAACTAGTTTCAGTTATGACTGGAATAAGCCATTTAATCTTAAAACCCGTTGAGCTTTGTGTTTCACCCATTGCTATTCACTTATCTACAGTATGGTAATGTATTCATTATGCATTGTATTGCGGTTGAATGCATTACAATGTGAAGTCAGATTGTAGCATGAAAGTTCACTGAAATGCTAGGCTTGCTTTTTCTCTAAACCAGTGTGAAATGAAGCAGGATTTCTCCAATCCTGGCCTCCAAAATGCATCTGCGCTGTCTTGTATACCTCTAGATTCATTCTTGATTGGAAGAAGAGACTGTCCAGCTGAGAGACGCTTGGGCAGCTCAGGAAGCCTAGAAAATTGATCTGAAACAGAAGCTGTAGAGAAGCAGCACCTCAAACTTATTTTATTTCCCATTGATTTAAATTTTCTATCAAAAGGTAACGATCGCGGTGGTTTCTAGTGGGGATTGACATCTATTTTTCTAAGAATAAAGGGCAAAAATGACATTTGGATTCCAGAAGAGATGTCATTTAGCTATGTCAAAGAAAGTATCAGGGACTCTAATGACCTAGTTTCCTGTTAAATCTCTAGGCCATTGCTGAAGTTGGGAGCATAGGGAAAATACATTTCATCTTCAAAGACTTCAAGATGAGGTTTATAACTTTCTTAAAGAGGAAAAAATGAATCCTCTCTGCTGAAATGAGGCAGATGAAGTTTCAGCCCAAGATGGTTATTTTTCCCTGAAGATCTGAAAATTAAAGCACCTGCTTTA